TTGGCTTGTTTGATGTACTAATTTTTTTTTCGAGAAAATTTTACAGTCAGAAGTAAATCACAGGTTTCAACGGTATCGGGTCGAACTGCTGGTGGTTACGAACACACGATAGTAGGGCAAATTCGCATAGAGGAGGAACTCTTGAAGCTCATACACAGTGTGTTCTTGTCGTATTTAGGGCCATCGCCATCCAAAATATTCGATTTCGATCGGTCAACCAACACATGCAGACATATATAAGTATTGGGGGGAATTTTCATTTCTTTTCCTCTACCACTACGTAAAAGCCAGGTCCCAAAAAGTAGGTGCATCGATGACAGGTCTGATATGACATGACGTATAAGGGAATTCTTATAAAAAAAAATGTTGATTATTTTAAATTACAGGCCTAATGACGAATAGATTTAGAAGTTCTCTAAAAAGGTCCTGCCAGCACCGGAAGATCCTGTCTGCTTAAAAACGTTTTTCGAAAGCTTTTGAAGTGGTTTCAATAACATTTTACTGATTTCTTTTTTTTTTAAATAGAAAATGAAATAAAAAGTTTGTTATCTTTCACCACTGAAAATAGAAGAGGTTAAGATCTTCTGGAAAAAAAATCCGCGTTCTTATGAATATTTGTGGATCAACAGAGAATAAGTATTTTCAATTCTTAGTTCGGCACTCGATTCCGGAGTTCTCTTCGTAGCTTCGTTTTTTTCGGAGGGCCTAGCACGGCCGGACAAAAGTCGCAACTCACTGCGTCAAATTCTATTCGGGAATGAGTCAGAAAGGGCGACCATCCCATCAGTTTGCTTGGGTCTCACGCACGAACGCCTGAAAGAAGACGTATGAACTTTTTTTGGCTGGAGGGCGGTTCGGGGAAACAAGATAGCGGGCTGGATTTCGGCGGGGATGTCCCTTATGTGAGCTAAAGATTTCAAATTTAGTTTTAAATTGTGCCTGCATGCACGTCAAAGTTGAGGTTTCGTTATCACTGGCAAAGTGCCAGCTCCGTGAATTAAACTGATTGGAGTGCTTCAAGTTCACGGGAATATTTGCTTGTTTTTTCGGCATATCAACCAGCTTCCAAGCTTCTTTGGTCTCTGTGTTCGAAGTGTGAGCGAACACACACACACACATATACAAAAAAGCACACATCGGCATACATATATATATATATATATGTATACATACACATATATATATACATATATATATCGGTGTATATACATATATACATATATATATACATATATATATATACATATATATATACATATATATA